TAGAATTTATTTCTATTTTCCTTTTACATTTTCTTTTAACTGATATTTAAATTTTGTTCATACATCGTTTTCTTGACCTTCTTCAGTTCAGTTGAGTTCAGATGCTCAGTCGTGTCCGACTCTTTGCGACACCATGAACCACAGCACGCCAGGCCTCCCTGACTATCACCAACTCCTGGAGTCCATCCAAACCAATGTCCATTGTGTCGGTGATGCCATCCAACCATCTCATCCTCCGTTGACCCCTTCTCCTCCTTCCCTCAATCTAGCCTTGACCTTTTTAACATCTTTTAACTCTTTGAGCATCTTTAGGACAGCTTTAATGTCTTTGTCTTGTAGATCCACTATCAGGACAGTTTTTCAGAGATGGTTTTTGCTTTATTTATTTTTTCTTGTTTAAATGGTCCATACTTTCTTTGTATGGCCTTGTTTTTTAAGTGAAAACTGGACATTTGAATATAATAATGTGGTAACTCTGGAAATACAATTCTTCATCTTCCCTAACAGCCATTAGGTGCTAATTTAGGTAGTAGACATTTACTAAATGAATCTCTCTATTTTTTCTCTGCATAGACTGCATTTCTCAGCTTTTATCTTCCATGAACAGAAATAAGGAAACAACCCTTTCCCCAGTGTTGTATTTGGGTTCTGATTCCAACCACTTGCTAGGTTCTGATTGATTTCTCCTCTAGCTCAAGGTCACTGATTCTCCATTCTTGCTCCCAATCCAGCACTGCTTGATGTTAGAGGAAAGTGGATCCAAAACTGGACTGAGCCTGGTCCCTGGATATGACTGTATGGAGTCATGGATAGATGGTGCATGAATAAGACATAAGCCATGGTTTTGCTCAGCTATTGAGAATCATGCATTTATGAGACCCAGCAGCTAGTCACCTGATTAATGTACAGAGAACAAAGCAAGCGCATATGTTTTGTACATGTGTACTTTTTAAAATTTTGTTTTGTTGTCATTAAGCTTAAAATCTGATGATAAAAGCAGTGCTTATCATCATGAGTGGTTGGTTCTCTCTCTAATATGGGCAGAACCATTACCCTATAGGTTCATCTTCACCCACAATGTAGGAACATCCCAACCTGAGACACAGAAAACTTGAGCAACTATGCATCAGTACTCATGGACTCAGAATCAGACATAATATTCACTTCTTAAATCTTGGATCTTATTCTTTCCTCCTCTCAACGTATTACCGAGTCCTTGATTACTTTCTCTCAGCTTCTTCTAGAGGTGAAGTATTTGTTATTCACAGTATAAGCTTCTTGCCTTGCTAGCAAAGTCTCTTCATCATGAACATTTCCAAGACTCCAGACCTGTGACCAGATTTGCTGAAGATGCTGGGGCTAGCCTGCTGTCCACCAAGGTCTGTGGGATCCAGATAGAGCCTTTTAACATGATTTGATTGTCCACATATTCCAGAATCCTCTTATTTCTTATTTTTTGGAGAAATACTCCTTACTCCAGGCCTTTGATTCTATTCACCTGCTGAGCACTCAAATACCTAACATCCCAAAAGATACATTAAGTATCCATGTCCATAAGCATGAGCCAATGGATTAAGTTGCTTTTTTGATGACCTGACAAGCAGAGAAACCTACCTTCTGGTCCTGAGCTCCATGATTACCTAGGCACCTAGTGTCTCCAATTGCTATGTCTGGGAAACTATATCATTCTATGCTCCAGATTTTTCAGGAACTAAAGTTATGCCTGACCTTCAGTCTTGGGGGCTGGATTTATGTATTTATTTATTTATTATTTCCCTGATCATAAGTTCTCCCTTGTTGTTTTTTATTTTTTTATAACAATTATTGTATCTCTTTATTTTTCAATCCTTATACCTTTTTTCTTTTTTTAATATAAATTTATTTATTTTAATTGGAGGTTAATTACAATATTGTATTGGTTTTGCCATACATTGACATGAATCCACCATGGATGTACATGTGTTCCCCGTCCTGAACCCCCCTCCCACCTCCCTCCCCATCCTGACCCTCTGGGTCATCCCAGTGCACCAGAGTTGAGCACCCTGTCTCATGCATCAAACCTGGACTGGCGATTCATTTCACATATGATAATATACATATCTCAGTGCCATTCTCCCAAATCATCCTGCCTTCGCCCTCTCCCACAGAGTCCAACAGACTGTTCTATACACGTGTGTGTCTTTTGCTGTCTGTCATACAGGGTTCTCATTACCATCTTTCTAAATTCCATATATATGCATTAGTATACTGTATTGGTGTTTTTCTTTCTGGCTTACTTCACTCTGTATAATAGGCTCCAGTTTCATCCACCTCAGTAGAACTGATTCAAATGCATTCTTTTTAATGGCTGAGTAATATTCCATTGTGTATATGAACCACAGCTTTCTTACCCATTCGTCTGCTGATGGACATCTAGGTTGCTTCCATGTCCTGGCTATTATAAACAGTGCTGCGATGAACATTGTGGTACATGTGTCTCTTTCAATTCTGGTTTCCTTGGTGTGCATGCCCAGCAGTGGGATTGCTGGGTCATATGGCAGTTCTATTTCCAGCTTTTTAAGGAATCTCCACACTGTTCTCCATAGTGGCTGTACTAGTTTGCATTCCCACCAACAGTGTAAGAGGGTTCCCTTTTCTCCACACCCTCTCCAGCATTTATTGCTTGTAGACTTTTGGATAGCAGCCATCCTGACTGGCGTGTAATGGTACCTCATTGTGGTTTTGATTTGCATTTCTCTGATAATGAGTGATGTTGAGCATCTTTTCATGTGTTTGTTAGCCATCTGTATGTCTTCCTTGGAGAAATGTCTGTTTAGTTCTTTGGCCCATTTTTTGATTGGGTCATTTATTTTTCTGGAGTTGAGCTGGAGGAGTTGCTTGTATATTTTTGAGATTAATCCTTTGTCTGTTGCTTCATTTGCTATTATTTTCTCCCAATCTGAGGGCTGTCTTTTCACCTTGCTTATAGTTTCCTTTGTTGTGCAAAAGCTTTTAAGTTTCATTAGGTCCCATTTGTTTATTTTTGCTTTTATTTCTAAAATTCTGGGATGTGGGTCATAGAGGATCCTGCTGTGATTTATGTCGGAGAGTGTTTTGCCTATGTTCTCCTCTAGGAGTTTTATAGTTTCTGGTCTTACATTTAGATCTTTAATCCATTTTGAGTTTATTTTTGTGTATGGTGTTAGAAAGTGTTCTAGTTTCATTCTTTTACAGGTGGTTGACCAGTTTTCCCAGCACCACTTGTTAAAGAGGTTGTCTTTTTTCCATTGTATATCCTTGCCTCCTTTGTCGAAGATAAGGTGACCATAGGTTCGTGGATTTATCTCTGGGCTTTCTATTCTGTTCCATTGATCTATATTTCTGTCTTTCTGCCAGTACCATACTGTCTTGATGACTGTGGCTTTGTAGTAGAGCCTGAAGTCAGGCAGGTTGATTCCTCCAGTTCCATTCCTCTTTCTCAAGATTGCTTTGGCTATTTGAGGTTTTTTGTATTTCCATACAAATTATGAAATTATTTGTTCTAGTTCTGTGAATAATACTGTTGGTAGCTTGATAGGGATTGCATTGAATCTATAGATTGCTTTGGGTAGTATATTCATTTTTACTATATTGATGCTTCCAATCAATGAACACAGTATATTTCTCCATCTGTTTGTGTCCTCTTTGATTTCTTTCACCAGTGTTTTATAGTTTTCTATATATAGGTCTTTTGTTTCTTTAGGTAGATAGATTCCTAAGTATTTTATTCTTTTTGTTGCAATGGTGAATGGAATTGTTTCCTTAATTTCTCTTTCTGTTTTCTCATTGTTAGTGTATAGGAATGCAAGGGATTTCTGTGTGTTGATTTTATATCCTGCAACTTTACTATATTCATTGATTAGCTCTAGTTATTTTCTGGTGGAGTCTCTAGGGTTTTCTATGTAGAGGATCATGTCATCTGCAAACATAGTTTTGGAAGTTTTGGCCACAGCAATCAGAGCACAAAAAGAAATAAAACGAATCCAGATTGGAAAAGAAGAAGTAAAACTCTCAATGTTTGCAGAAGACATGATCCTCTACATAGAAAACCCTAAATTCTTCCTTTTGCCTGCCTTGATTATGCTTTGAGAACTGGTAATAACTTTGTAGACCTCCCTTGATTCTATGAGATTAGAAAAAAGGAAATTCTGATACTCTCCTCCTGAAATAGACACTCTAGTTTAGGGGGAACAGGTTGTGTGGGTGTTGATTGCTTAGTCATGTCCAACTCTTTGCTACTCCATAGACTGTAGCCAGCCAGGCTCCTCTGTCCACGGGATTCTCCAGGCAAGAATACTGGAGTGGGTTGCCATTTCTTTCTCCAGGGGAAACAGTTTAAAAATGCACAAAACAACTAGTGATGCATAGTGATAGGAAGGTAATATAAAAATGTTTGCTGGAGAGAGTTGCCATTTCCTTCTCCAGGGTATATTCCCCACCCAGGGATCAAACCTGCATCTCTTGCATCTCCTGCTTTGGCAGGCAAATATTTTACCACTAGTGCCACCTGGGAAGCCAAGCAATCTGTAGTCACTGCAAATAAGTTCCTGAGGAGCCAGGGAACATATAAGATAATTTTAGTTGAATGAAACTGAACTTGAATAATTTGCTTTACAAAATGCCACTTATTTTTAGTAAATTGCATGCACTATATCACATAAATATTGAAGATGATCTAAATGATCTGATGAGGATATTTCCCTGCTGATTAGCACTGTTCCTTTCCACTGTTTGTAGGCGCTCACTTGAGACTGAGATTCTGGGAGGTGGGAAGTGGGACTTCTTTACAAACTTCAAGGCCCTAGGACATATATATTTATACCCCAGTTTTCACTTTATCTGTGCTCCCAGTGTCACTCCATCTGTGTGAGCAGCACAATATTATAAACAGCTTTAAAACGTACACAAATGAAAGACCATAAACACATCTCAGGATGCAGATTCTGCCAGATCAAGTAAACCACACTTTCATCTGCACATACCTGTATAGAATTGAATTGTATCAGCACACTGGAGTCTCTGTCCTTACCGTCTCCATAAGCCTGTCCTCATTCAGTGGGTACTTCACTACCTCTGACCCTTAGAATAATAGTACACGCTCAATGTTTCATCTCATGTCACAGCCTGGGAATCAAGAGTCAAAAGAAACCCCAGACTTCAGCTTACACCGTTTTTAACCTCTGTCACTCAAACCATCCTTGGGACACCCTCTGTGCTCTGTCCCTAAACATTTCAAAAGGCTTCTCTCTTCCTGATGGAAGATCCCAGTTTTTCTCCTTTAAAGACCTTTTAACTCACCTGAAATTTGTTCTGTCTTTCTCACTCTGTCCCCCAACAAAATCACTTAACATCAGGGATCAAATCCTTGGGCCATTCTCCAGCCACATAAAATTCAAATTTTCATGGGGCTTTTGTTTCTTTGGAGGTAAGTCCTAGCATAGTCAACCTTTCCTCAACAGTTTAATTAGAGATTAAGACTTATTCCCTGATGTAAATGATTTTAGGAAGGCTTTTTTTGAGGGGTGGAGGTCATAGTCGTTCTATTTACTAAGTGTTGAAATCCCCAGAACCACACCTCCACACCCTCAAATATTAAAGTTAAATATCACTGTAGTTAGATTTACAAGTTATAGATGTCATCTTTCTGCTTAATACTATGCAAATCTACCTCAGATAAGTTAGAAATGTCCTCAGAATACAGAAGATATAACAAGAATTGAGGAGAACTCTGTAACCTTAACTTTAGTGGTGGGGAAAAGTACTTAAATGTTCAGATGTGTAAAACCGCCCCCAAAATAACCTTTATGTTCTCACTCTCTGCAGAAATATTTCCTAAAGCTTAGTAGAGCTAGGTAGAAATGGGCTCAGGATTAATTTTGACCTTCTGTGGCAATGCATTTTCAAGCCCAAGAATTTATGTGTGCAGAATATTAAATGTCAAATGCAAATATGGAAACGGAGCTACACAGTTGCAGATCGTCCCTAATTGATATTGAACAGACTATTCCCTTTAAATGTTAATGAAACTGTTGTAATTACTAAATGACCAAAACAGCTCAGAAGCCAGGGTTCACAGCTGTAAACCATTACTTGTAAATTACTGGCACAGGACCACATTAGCAGATGGCTCAGTCCATGGAAGAAAACTTCCTCAAGATGCTTTTCTTCCAGGCCTGGGCTCAGGAGCAAATTAGATGAGCATATTAGAGAGGTCCAGAGTGCCTGTTTGGACATGTCACTGGAGATAAGCACCTTCTTTGATCTTCTTTTTTTTTTTTTTCATTATTATTACATTCTTTGCAGAAAGTGCTGAATATCACAGAACACAAAGAAAGGAGAAGGAGAAACTGACAAGAGCTTATAAATGTTGCAGAAGGTCAGATATGCACATTTCTGCTGGCTTTTTAAGGATCAGAGGGTTTCCTAAATTCTGAGGCAGATGGACTGAATACTGAAGTGGGGGAAGGGAGATAGAGAGAAAAAATAGGGTGAAAGAAAGAAAGGGAGAGAGGGAGAGTGAACACCTGAGACCTGCTAACAAGCCAGTGGCAGAAAAGCAATTAGAAGAAAAATAGGGCATTTGAATGGGTTTAGTACCCTCAAGACAGAGAACATCTATAAAGCTGTGTAAGCAAAAACTATGCAGTAGAAACAAGCGATGTCTTTATTAGAGAAGGCCTGTGGCTCTTCACAGCTTTGTTCTGTAAATTCCATACCAGCTTTGCAAACTCTCTGAGGTTATTAACTTTAGTGAAGCTTTTTTTTTTTTTAAAGAGTTGGGTGAGTCCTGCAGTTGATCCTTTCATTAATAAGAAAGAAAGATTAATTAAGACATCTGCCAAGAACAGGAGGAAGGAGGAGTTTGTCTTACAGTGTACACGGCAATCTCTCCTAAAAATGAAAGGATGGATTTTTCCACGCCATGAACTACTCTGTAGAGAAAATGTTTAAAGAATGAGGTGTTGACAGTCAAACCGAGAGTGTGGGTAATTCCCATCTTCTGAGCTGTTTGAATTCCAAAGTGGTATAGAAAAGAGTTGTTAGGATTTCAAAAGGCATCTTCACAGATAAAGAACGTTGTAACTACTTCTGAGTTTGGAAGAAGTATCACACAAATCTGAACAACCTGACCTTATGTGGCAGAAGCAACAAACATGGGTGGATGGGTATGAACGAGACCGTGGATCAGAGCTGCTGTGAAATAACCAGGCACAAAAAATTGAGACATAATTTGAGAAATTTGTCAAGTGAATGCATAATACTGAATTTCCCAAGATATTTATGTTTTATTTGTAAAATCTATGAGACCAGAAGCTGGTCTTATAAACCAGATGCACGTTTGATTCCTGGGTTGGGAAGATCCTCTGGTATAGGACATGGCAACCCATTTCAGTATTTCTGTCTGGAGAATCCCATGCACAGAGGAGCCTGGTGGGCTATAGTCCATAGGGTCACAAAGAGTCACACATGGCTGAAGTGATTTAGCAGTAGTAGCATAAAATCAAAGACCAGTGATCAATGTGCTGATGCAGTCTCGTGTCTGGATTCTTGGATTAAAGCTAACATATGACATATGAAGGGGACAAAAATGATAGATCATATTGGAAAAATGAATAGGACCTTGGAAGCCTTTTTAAGAAATCTTAACTTTATTGGATAACATTAGAGGATCTTTGAACGGTCCTAACTAGAATTAGGTTGGCGCTGTAGAAAGCTGACTCCTAGGGCCGTGGAGTGAGGGAAAGCAGTAGTAAGTCCATTGTTGCAACACGAGGAAGTGATGAGACGGTCCTGGACTCTTGGCAAGGACACAAATAGAAGGGGTTGGATTTATAAGAGTTTTGTAAGAAGTAGAAAAATATGAAAGTTTATGTATTTGGATATGAAGGGAATGAGGGAGAAAAGATGAAAATGCATCTAAGATTTTTGTTTAAAACCACTGAGTACCACTGATTCAAATAGACACCAGAGGATAAAGAAAAGTTTGAGTAATAAAAGGTTAAGTTTTGTGACTATTGGATTTCAGTTTCTGTGGACTCTCCAAGTAGCCAGTAGGGCAGCTCTGGGCTGAGGAATGAGATCCTTGAATCAGTGGAATTTGGAAATAATTGAAGCCACAGCAGTTGATGGGATCATACAGAAAGAATGGCAGAACCTTAGAGAATTACAGTAAAAGCTAACATACCATTACAGAAGAACGCTGTAATATGCTTGGAGATAAAAGGCATAGTTTTCTCTCCAATGACAGTCCCAAGGTGAAGAAATCAAGCTGGTAGAATAGCTGGTAGAATAGCTCAACTCTACACAGGCTCTTTGGGACACTTCTATCTGGATGATATGCAATCCTATAGATGTTACCATAAGCATGGTTGTAGGTGGAGCACTGTCTTCTCTGGGTTCCAACCATTTGACCAATTGTCATTATAATGGAGAGAAAAGACAGTAGATCTACAGATGCAAGTTAGTTTCCAGGTTTGATGAAGGAAGTTAAGGAAACTTCTCTGTGAAGGAGAAATAAAAAGCATCTATTGAGAGTAAGGAGGGGAATGCCAAAATTATAAATCAAATTGGAAAGAAGCTTAGATTATCTTCATGGAGAACTAGAACAAGGATTTTTGGAGAAAGTGAATGGTCCAGATTGCTGGTCATTCTGGAACATCTGCTTAAGTTTTGATACCATCACCTCATAACTGTTTTACCTAACTATTCAACTACAAAATGATCAAAAAGTAACATGAAAGAAACCTTTAGAAATATTTATGTTTTCAGTGCTCACATGTATTTATAAACATAAGTAGAGGTTGTTTACTGAATAAACCATCCAAAATTTAAGATCCAAATTTTACAAATATGACAAATCTATTTTTCTTCAAAGGAAATATCAGCAAAAATATGATTATTATTCAGCTTAAAAATATGGAATTCTCATAGCTTTGACTTGCAAATATGCATGTTATCTTGGACATCTAATTTTGATATTTTTGTTTATGTGTTTAGGCAACTTTTCATGCTAATAAACTTCTTTTAAAGACATGTGAGTGGAATCAATGTTTCCACATAAGATTTGCCAGGTGAGTGTACATTGTCAAATATAACTGAATTCTCTGGAATTTCTTGATTTGAAATCCTGGCAAGTCATTTGTCCCAAAGTCATATAGGTCAAAATATGCCACAGTGATGCTTTTTGTGTCAGCAAGAAAAGGATCACAAATCCAGATTTCAATATTTAAATAGTTTGAGCAGACGTGACCTTGTGATGAACTCCACAGTTTTTCCATGGATCTGTAGATATCTTCCCACAGAGAGTTTGGCAAGGCTCTATTACTCTCAATGCAGACTAAACTCATGCCTTCTATAGTATTTATAACTTTTAGATACTTTCCTTATTCTTGTGTTTGGTTAAGAACTGGCAACTTGGATACAATAGTTTGTCATTTGTTGTGGTGGTGGTTTAAGGGAGGGATAGGATGGTGTGCAGAGAAGGCAATGGCACCCCACCAGTACTCTTGCCTGGAAAATCCCATGGATGGAGGAGCCTGGTGGGCTGCAGTCCATGGGGTCGCTAAGAGTTGGACACGACTGAGCGACTTCACTTTCACTTTTCACTTTCATGCACTGGAGAAGGAAATGGCAACCCACTCCAGCGTTCTTGCCTGGAGAATCCCAGGGACGGCGGAGCCTGGTGGGCTGCCGTCTATGGGGTTGCACAGAGTCGGACACGACTGAAGCGACTTAGCAACAGCAGCATCAGCAGGATGGTGTGCTTGTTTTGTATCTAACAGCATCTAATTCAAGGCTTTGCTTTGAATAAATTACCTCAATTGTATTGTCAAAAGTAGCCTTCCCTTAGTCAACATATGGATCAACTCCTCCTTGTCCAGTATTTCCAAGTGAATTACCCTTTATATCATTTATCTTCCACCTGTTCCCCTCCAAAAAATAATTAACAAAGAAAGAAAGAAGAGAGAAAGGAGGGAAACGATAAAGGTAAAACTTTCCCAAAATGCAATCAAACACTTCAAGTTTTACTCTTGGAACATGCAGTAGAGAAGTTAATATTCCTCTCTCACCCTTTGACAAACCATGCCAAAATGAACAATTTAAACATTTGGCTCTGGCAAAGTTGATCTTTCCATGGCAGTGGAGGAAGACTTTTGTAGAATTGCTGGCAGAGTCTCATGTCATTGCTTGCCGATACAGAAGGCAGTGAGTCATTATGACATGTGGAGTGGCTTTCTTCAAGAAAGCAGCCAACCCAGATGTGTTGCCAAACATTGCAGGTGCTCCACCTGTGCACAGAACACCAAGATTTGTCTTCCAGTGGAAGCTTTCCCTGGCAAAGAAGTTTTTCACCATTTTGAAGACATTGACATCCTTTCCAGGTTCCAAAATGGGCTCATAAAATGCAAATTTTTCTCTGATGGCGACAATGTGCATGCAATAAATGAAAGCTAGGAGCTGGTTTCACTGAAAATGAAAGGGAAACTCGCTTAGCCATGTCTGACTCTTTGCAACCCCATGGTTCTATAGCCCTCTAGGCTCTCTGTCTAAGGGATTTCCCAGACAAGAATACTGAAGTGGGTAGCTGTTGCCCTCTCCAGGGGATCTTCCTGACCCAGGGATCAAACCTGAGTCTCCTGCATTATGGGTAGATTCTTTACCATCTGAACCATGAGGAAAGAAGGCCCAGCTTCACTGGGGCACACATATTTTTGTCCAGCTGTGTGCAGAATGAAAATTAGATAGCTACTAATTTCTCCAAGAGTTGCTTTAAAATAGTGGAAAGTATATCAGTATTTCTGGGATGTATAACATTTATTAGCAAAGATAATTTTTCTTGAGAGCTCAAAGACATAAAATGGCTGAACATGATGGCACAAAAGTCTCTTCAATATGGCAACTTATTTTGGCTGGGAATGAAAAAGAAACCACCTGTCAATGCAGGAGACATAAGAGATATGGATTTGATCCCTGTGTTGGGAAGATCCCCTGGAGGAGGGCATGGCAACCCACTCCAGTATTCTTGTCTGGAAAATCCCATGGACATAGGAGCCTGGCGGGCTACAGTCCATAGGGTTTCATAGAGTTGGGCATGACTGAATCA